TCATCAATTTCCAAATTGGCTAAAACATTTTTTTCCGCGTCTGTAAATATCGTAGGCAAAATTGTCCATTCAAAAGCTACAGTCGTAATATCAGAAACGTTCAAATGTCTTGCTACATTTGTTAAGTCTGCAATAATATATCTTTCGTCGCACAAAGCTACTTCGGGATCTAAAAATCTAAGTTCGCGAAAGATTTCATCATTGTAAGGTAAACGATGTAACATTTCTGCAACACGGTCGTACAAAACTGTAAACATTTTGATTTTACTTCTAATATAAATTCAGAACATTCTACTTCAAAACTTCAAAAAAGATTCGCATTCAAGACCAACGTTAATAGAAGTTGTAGGTAAAAAATTTGGAGGGTTCGAAAGATCATTAGAAATATTTTTTAAAACATCAGGTAGCAAAAAATTTTTCCCCATCTGTTTTATTAAGAGCTCACTATTTTCTGCAATTTTATGAATTTTTCTAGATTGAAATTTTTCTAGATTGAAAGAGAGCATTAAAATTATCAAAAAGGAGCAAAGAATATTTTAAAAACAGCATATATGCTTTAATTATTTTATCATTTAAATTATTAAAAATTATAATTGCAGAATTATTTTTACTTTCTAAAGTTTCAAGATAGAAGTAATGTTTCAAAACTTCCCAATTATTGAGAAGTCTATTAACATACTTCTGCAAAATGAGCCATCTTATATCAGATAATGTTAAATTTTGCGGGACTCTACTCCAAAAAAATCTTGAAATTCGCATAATATAGCTGATCTCTTAGAACTACCAGAAAAATATGTAGCAACTTCATGTAAAGTACATTTTGTCCTTGACAATTTCAGATCTTTAGCTATCTGTGAATCGGGTAAAATATCTTTTAAAAAAGGGACCATGTCATTTACTATATTAAAAGCTATATTATGTGTCGCGTAGAAAGCAGCTAATTTTATTTCGGCTCTTTTTACTTTATAGACATGGTCTATATCTATTTCATTATTGTGAAGCATAGGTAATAAAGCAGAGAGGTTGACATTACGACTATTATTCATATTTTCAATATGTATTTTAGTTTCAGAATGTTTTATTAAGTCTGACTTGCCGCATAAAAGAACTTTATTGCAAGCCGTGCAGAGAGCCTTCTTATCATCCTCATGCGATGTTAACCAATCTTTAAATATGTCCATACTTAACCAAAATTTTTGAAATTTTTTCCGATGATTTTCCGCATCTTTTCCGAGATGCCGCTTGAGATAGATGGCTGGTCCATTATTGCACTTATTATCACAGATTTTCACTTATCACTACACTTATCACTATATTTATTTATCACATTTTACATTTTACACAGCCTGCACTCGCGAAAAAAACGCGGAACTATAACGGACAGATGCGCGGGACCCTTCGCGCATGCTACTTGCGCCCACTATCTGCGTTTACATTCATTACTGGAAACGCTTGCATCGAGCTCTGACGTCATGCTCACGCATGCGCACAAGGATTCCCAACTGGGAACAATTCCCACGACTTGTCATCATTGGCTTGAACTTGGCGCGAGGCACTACCGTGCCTCTTCATATTGTATTTACGTATATATTATTGTAATTTTATTGTTTGAATACTAATAAGGTTTTTCTGCAGTTTTCCTTATCCTCGCAACAAATGTTGGTATTTATATAATATATTGGCTGCAGATAAAAAAATTACAAATTAATAAATTTTATTATTATTATTTATTATTCATATATCAACTGCATTATATTTATTGAATAGAAACTTTTTTCCTTCCCCATAATCTCTTTCACATTTCCTTCGTTGTCGGGACTTAACGACACCTTCAAATATATACGTTCGTGTGGCTAGCATAGCGTTTGCTCAATGCACATGCGCAATTTTTCCCACGCTTGTCATCACTGTCCATGGTCCGGATCCGGAGCTATATATTGAATTGAACTGAACTGAATGGTGAGTAATTTTGCTCTGTAGTATCTCCGCAAATATCCAATAAAATCAAAGAAAATCGTTGTGTTTATAATTTATTTACCTAACCTCGCGGTTAAGATTATCGTGAACAAATTTTTATAATTATTTCATGTGTGCATCACATGAAATATGTTGCGAAATCTTCCTATTGTAACGTTTGAGCATAACCGTGTGTTTGTGTCTTTTGAACTCGTCATCTAAAGAATAATTTCATTCATTTGTATATTATTTTGATTTTCTTTGGTATATGTATTAATTCTATGTCTTCTTCTTTTCTTCGACTCACAAGAAAAAAACTAGGAAGCTACGTGGACACGTGAGCCACGGTCACGGTCGTATCGGTGAGTAAAGATTAGATTATAACTGTTGAACTGTTGACACACAGCTTATTTCCAAAATTTAATTTTTAATTAAAGTATCATCTTGGAGTTTAAATTAAACAATTATAAGATCAATATAATTCGTATAGTTTCTGTACTTATTTTTATATTAATATCAATTTTATATTAATATTGTTCCGAAATATAATTTCTCTAGTACAGATATAAAATCTTCTTCTCTACTGCATGCATAAGTTAGAAATTCACTATATTATGATATTATATTTTTCAAGGAAGCATAGAAAGCATCCTGGTGGTCGTGGTAATGCTGGTGGTATGCACCATCACCGAATAAACTTCGATAAATATCATCCTGGTTACTTTGGGAAGGTAATAGCTTTTATGGAAAGCGTTGCTATATATTTCTGTAGGAACCATGTTTTTATAGTTTTTTTTTTTTATAGTAACACTGTCCAAGTTATATTATCTGCTTTAAACGAAAATATATATTGATATTGTATAGAATAGATTTATAAATAGATATTTATTGAATAGCAAACAAAGTTTAAATATTTCTAAATATATATCAAAGAATGAAAAAAAGATATATATCTAATATACAGGGTGCACGATTTATCTGAAGACATTGAAATATCTCGAGAACTATGCATTGGATAAAAAAAAGTGGTTAATGAAAGTTGTTAGTCTCGAAGGGGGACATCCAATGATACCAAACTCGACCTCCCACCCCACCCCCTGGGGGTGGGGGTTGGGGGCAACTTTGAAATCTTAAATGGAAACCCCCATTTTTTATTGCAGATGCGGATTCTACGCCACAAAATACGTAAATTTTGTCCGAAACTTTTTTTTTGATTCGTGATAGATGGCGCTGTAATCGCAAAAAATTATATTTTCCGCAATTCTCCAGAAATGATCATTGGATTGTGAAATAAAAAATACCTGTTCAATATTTTTAAAGAACATAATAAAAGTTATTTTATTTTTTATAGTTTTATAGTTTTTTTATAGTTATTTATTTTATAGTGAGTTCTAACCGCATTGCACTGCCTTTTATAATAAGCCGTAGTTCGTCATACACCCACAATGGCGCGTCAAGCAGTTCCCTCTTCGATTCGGGTTCCCATCTGAGATTTGAACGTTACCACTCACCCTACCCCGAGAGGATGGGGGGGAATAACTTTTATTATGTTCTTTAAAAATATTGAACAGGTATTTTTTATTTCTCAATCCAATGATCATTTCTGGAGAATTGCGGAAAATATAATTTTTTGCGATTACAGCGCCATCTATCACGAATCAAAAAAAAAGTTTCGGACAAAATTTACGTATTTTGTGGCGTAGAATCCGCATCTGCAATAAAAAATGGGGGTTTCCATTTAAGATTTCAAAGTTGCCCCCAACCCCCACCCCCAGGGGGTGGGGTGGGAGGTCGAGTTTGGTATCATTGGATGTCCCCCTTCGAGACTAACAACTTTCATTAACCACTTTTTTTTATCCAATGCATAGTTCTCGAGATATTTCAATGTCTTCAGATAAATCGTGCACCCTGTATATATCTAATAGACATATATATCTAATAGATACATATATTTAATATATATAACTAATAGAGCTTCAGAAAATGCAACTATAAGGAACTCTTCCCATTATACATAAGACTTCCCATTGTATACTGGAGTGCATCATATCGTACCATGTCACAAGAAATACTTCTCCTCCAGCAGTCTCCATTTATTGAGCACTTTCTCTGTGCTTCCTTCTCTAGGATCTTCTGGATCCGCTAGAAGAGAAGTACTTCCCCTGATGCGGCACAACATGATGTATCCTAGTGTATATATACTATAAAAAATGATATAAAATATCAATAATATACTATAAAAAATGATATAAAATATCAAATGAAATGAGAATCAAATATTCACCAGGGAACAATTACATTGAACGTATCTATTATCATCTAAATATACACAAAATGTATTATTTATATGAGAGATTTTGTCATCTAATATTTTCTATTTTAAATCTAGTTGGGAATGAAGAATTACCATTTAAGATGTAATACTAAATGGTGTTCTACATTAAATTTGGACAAGTTATGGACTTTGGTCTCAAAACAGACTAGATTAAAATATAAGGATGTGGAAAGCAAAGCACCAGTCATTGACCTTGTAAAAGCGGTAAGTTACACATGTCACGGCTTTTCTTTCAGTACTGTGCTTCAATTGTCATAATAAATTATGTGCCTGTATTTAGATGGTGTGAAAAATTTACCAGTTATGCTGGTATGCTGATTTTTTTTCCCAGGGTTATTATAAACTTCTAGGAAAAGGCCGTTTACCAAAATAACCTGTTATTGTCAAAACCAAATTTTTCAGCAAATTAGCAGAAGATAAAATTAAGGCAGTCGGTGGCGCATGTATTCTATGTGCGTAAATACTGGGTAAGTATTTAATATCTTTCTTTTTAGATAATTAAAAATCTTATCCTATGATTTTGTACATGATGAGAGTGAAACGGGTGGACCGAGAAGTGCGTACTACACTAAAAATAGATTAATCAGTCTATTCATGTGGATTGTTTCATGCTGATGAAAACTTGTTAGAAAGTACTTGAACATATTTATGCAATTTTTTACGAAATTTTTATGTATTTTTTTTGGTTTTAGAATACCAACATTTGGGAGTACATATGTAATTGTGAAGATGAAACGTGCTTCAAAAACAAAATAAATTAATATCTTTTTTCAACATATTACATCTTTTTGTCTTGAGTTATACTCTATAACTACGAATTATCTCAACTACGAATTATCGTTATGGATAAATTATATTTTATACATTAAATTTATCTTTCTGAGTGTCTTATGCTAAATGTGGTGGTGGTGGCGGTATTTGCATTCCAGTAGCCAATAGAGCTGGTGGTGGTGGCACTGGATTGAACATTGGTGGTCTAGGTGGAGGCGGCGGAACAGGCACCATTGGACCTAATCCTGGTCGTATCAAAGGGACTGGTGGTGGTGGTACTTTACCCATAAGTTTCTCATTCTTAAATGCAAATTGTAAGAAAAATTGTTTTGTATCTTTATTCCAATGAGTCCAGAATTTACCTTCTGCTTTCTCCACTTCTCTACTGGGCACCTACAAGTTGTTAAACAAATGATAAAATAAAAGGCTTATATTTAGGAGAGATGAGAGAGAGAGAGAAAAGAGTAATGAAAATGAAATGTCATTTAGAGCAAAAATATACACAAAATATAGTATCTTTTCAAGCAACTATTTCTTCAAAGATATTTTAAATATTTAGAATAGATCACTTTACATATGATAAGAAAATCTCAAAGTTGTACACATCAAGTGATCTGTCAATGTAACTATATCTAAAGATTTAAGACATTACTATTATAAATATGAAGGCAAAAATATTTTCTCACCTTAAAAGCAATAGTTTCATATGGTTCAGCAGCAAACAGCAGGTATTGCCACTTACGATCTGGTGGCTCAACTCTCTGTTCATAAGCTGACATAAACCTATGTCGTGGGATTACATTGTCAGCTACTTCCGGATAATCTACCTGGAACAACAAACTTTGTTGACCAGATTCCGGGTCACGCTGCTTAGTGACTCTATAACCAGGGCGACCAATTTTCACAAATTTTTTTGGCTCCACTCTAGGTTTCTCCGGTGCCAAAGTCTGAGGTGCTTCTTTCGCTTCTTTCGCAGCTCGTCTGGCTAGATTAGCTTGATGCTTTTTACCCTGAGTATGCGCCAGGTAACTGCCTTCGTTATTGTGCAAAGTGAGACATAGTTTGCATTCGTATGATCCTAAATGATTCTTCATAAAGTATGGGTCCTTATTCAAGTCGATGGTCTCCAGAGCGAGTTGACGTAATCTCTCTCGGCGGTCGCGGTTGCTCTCCGACCAGGAGGCAACGCCACCGCCACCGGTTTTGCCGCCTGGACGATTTTGGAAATCCATCTTCGACTCTTTGTCACTTCACCAGATATTTATACTTCCAAATGTTCCGCTTAAAGCTGTGGGAAGTAGAGTTTCGATTAATAAAGCATATTAAAATTTTATTATTTATTTAAAAACCCAAATAATATAATTATTAATAACATAAATATATATAATAATGTATATATGTAGGTTGTGTTTACACGTTACATATTAATTAGATTACATTACCACGTTAAAACACTGTTCTCTCTTCTTCTACAAGTATTTCTAAGAATATAGTATTACATTTTTTATTTATATCTACCTTTCTACCTTTCGATATCTAGTTTTTAATATTCCATTTCACTTTCTATTCACATTCAAAACTTTATAACCTGCATGAAATTGGCCGCGTTCAGTAGAACAAAGTGATCAGTGAACGCTTAGTGATTATTGTCTGTGATTGAAGCTGTTTTTAAATTCTTCACAGACCCAGAAGTATTTACCAATCAGGAGCGAGATTCAGTGAAAAATCTAGTAATTTTGTTCAACTGTTGGGTCTGCTGAATGCAGCCATTGAAGGTATGTTCCAAAATTTACAGCCAGTACTGAAAATACATAGTTTATGTCACGTATTAAATTGGTCTGTTCTTTGTAGCTGCACTGTTGAACTGGTGCAATAAATTAAAGATCTGCAGGAGCCACACTAGAGACCTCTCGCGGAGACCCGCAAACTAAGCAAAATTATCAGTTCAGTTCAGTTCGGTATATGGCAGGGCGTGCAAACTCTTATGGAGCGAAAATGATTAGCGTTAGCAGCGCTCTCTGAGATGGGTCATGTGAGAAATAGGAACTAATTTGTGGCCGCCATATTGCTACAGTTGCGTTCGCTTTAATGCTTTAAGCTAAGCCTTCAATAAGAAAAAAAAAGTGTTACGAAGAAGAGGTGTTACGAGGAAGAAGCACGAGAAGAGGCAGGTGCGAGAAGGAAAAACTTTTAATATTCCTGCCAGTAACGACAACCAAAGTGTAAGTTTTGTTTTTATATATTGTATTATATTTATATATAAATATTATGCATTAGTATAATTATCCACTTTTTACTAACAGAGACTAATAAGTAAAAAATAAAAGTAAGCTTTGCAATATGCTAACATAACAAGAGCAAGTTTGATAAAGATTGTAGAAATTCTTAGCAATACATGCCTGCATCAAGTTTGTGCTTAGTTTCTGCTGTTAATCTGCTGCTAAAAAATTTAATACACCTTGTGAACAAGCTATTTCAGCCAATTGATGACTGAAAACAAGAAGAATATGTTATGATTATCCTTGAATGTAATGTTAAATCATGTTATATTAGCTGGTTGCTTCTTGAGCATGAGCTGCATGCAGGCATAGATAACTAAAATTTATTCATGGAATCTACTCTATATATATATATATATATATATAATTTATGAAGATATTTATGTACTCTCTCTCTCTCTCTCTCTCTCTCCCTCTCTCTCTCTCTCCCTCTCTCCCTCCTCTCTCTCTCTCTCTCTTGCAGAAGGACTACAAGAAGACTTCAACAAGAGAAGAAGAAAAACAAGAAGAAACAGTTACTCAAGAACCACCAAAATCTTTTCCCTGTTAGCGACAAACAACTTGTTTTATTTGAGTATGTATAATACTGTAATATTGTATACTGATGATGCAAATATCTGTTTAACTAAATACAGGTTTATTTTTTTTATAGGTCTCATAACAGCGGGATCAAGATGGTACGAGTATGTTGTGTACCAGGATATTCCACAGGGAAGACAGCACCATCGCATAAATTCCCACGAAATGCTGAACGTAGGCTACAATGGTTCAAGAATTTTAAAATGGAGCCAGTGGAGGGACCTGAGGAGAAAAAGTTATGAGTATGCTACAACCAGTTTAGGGACAGCGATAATATACAGTTTTATTACAAATTTCTTTTAATATTATTATAAAATTTAGTATTATTAACAAATTATTGTCCTTATATTTTTGTTTAAGGTATTAATATTTTCTTTATGTATACATATTTACATTTTTTTTGTCAAATATATACATTTCACAGAATACACATTATTTTCTGCATTTTTACTTCGCACTAATATTCCTCGTATTTCCTATATACAGGGTGCACGATTTATCTGAAGACATTGAAATATCTCGAGAACTATGCATTGGATAAAAAAAAGTGGTTAATGAAAGTTGTTAGTCTCAAAGGGTGACATCCAATGATACCAAACTCGACCTCCCACCCCACCCCCTGGGGGTGGGGGTTGGGGACAACTTTGAAATCTTAAGTGGAAACTCCCACTTTTTATTGCAGATACGGATTCTACGCCACAAAATACGTAAATTTTGTCCGAAACTTTTTTTTTATTCGTGATAGATGGCGCTGTAATCGCAAAAAATTATATTTTCCGCAATTCTTCAGAAATGATCATTGGATTGAGAAATAAAAAATACCTGTTCAATATCTTTAAAGAACATAATAAAAGTTATTTCCCCCCCATCCTCTCGGGGTAGGGTGGGTGGTAACGTTCAAATCTCAGATGGGAACCCGAATCGAAGAGGGAACTGTTCGACGCGCCACTGTGGGTGTATGGCGAACTACGGCTTATTATAAAAGGCAGTGCAATGCGGTCAGAGCTCACTTTTCTTTCAGAATTAGAACTGAAAGCATCTCTAACAATTTCATTTTATTTGACTAGTTTTTATTACCTGCATATCTACCCTTCATTCTTTGAACAGAATTGCAAGTGGAAAATGAATTCTGCAACCGTAGAAGAAAAAATTGAAATGATTCTGATTTATGGTGAATGTAGGAAGAATGTTGACGATGCTGTTGCCTTGTATGCTGAGCGTTTTCCAGACAATGTTCGCTCACGTTCTTTTTTTACAAAGTTGTGACTGCCTTTATCTCGGATGGCAGCGTACAAACTAAAAAAAGAAAACGAAGAACAACTGTTACAGGAGAAGTTAATGAAATAGCTGTGCTAGCAGCTGTTCACCACAACCCACAGGTAAGCACTCAGCAATTACATCGCGATTTCGGAATTTCCGGAGATAGTACTCGCAGAATATTGCACCGTCATAAGTATCACCTATATCACATTTCACTGCATCAAGAACTTCATGGCGATGATTTTCATAATCGAGTAGTGTTTTGTGAATGGGCATATTGAAGGTAATTTGAATGGAATCAAACATCGAAATTTCCTGGAACAGGAACTACCACCACTACTTGATGATGTTGCCTTGGACGTTCGACAAAGTATGTGGTTTCAGCATGACGGTTGCCCAGCGCATAACTCAATAGCAGCACGGGAAGTATTAGACTATTATTACAATGGTCGGTGGATTGGCAGAGGTGGCCCAATTAATTGGCCTGCTAGGTCGCTTAATTTGACATCGCCGGATTTCTTTCTTTGGGGTTACCTAAAAGATAAGGTTTATCAACAAGTGCCAACAACTCGTGAAAACATGGTAGAACGCATAAGAAACGCTTGCGCTGAAACTCCCGCAGATATGCTTCTATCCTGTGTACAGTCATTTGAAAAAAGGATCAATAAGTTTATTATATTGAAGTTGAAGGTAAAAATTTCGAACACTTGCTCTAATTAATTGAACAGTGAGAGGCAAGGGGACTCACATTAAAAAAGCACCCCGATCTGTGAGAGGCAAGGGGACTCACATTAAAAAAGCACCCGAAGGGAACATAAAACTACTACGTCCTCGTCGTTGTTCCTGTGTAACGCTAAAAGTAGTTTCTCGGAAAAATTCAACGCTATCTATCACGAATGAAAAAAATTGTTTCAATAAAAATTTCACGTACAATCTAATTCCGCAATGAAAAATGTGGGTCCCCATTTGAGATTTGAACGTTATCACCCACCCTACCCCGAGAGGATGGGGGGGAATAACTTTTATTATGTTCTTTAAAAATATTGAACAGGTATTTTTTATTTCTCAATCCAATGATCATTTCTGGAGAATTGCGGAAAATATAATTTTTTGCGACTACAGCGCCATCTATCACGAATCAAAAAAAAAGTTTCGGACAAAATTTACATATTTTGTGGCGTATAGAATCCGTATCTGCAATAAAAAATGGGGGTTTCCATTTAAGATTTCAAAGTTGCCCCCAACCTCCAGGGGGTGGGGTGGGAGGTCGAGTTTGATATCATTGGATGTCCCCCTTCGAGACTAACAACTTTCATTAACTTTTTTTTATCCAATGCATAGTTCTCGAGATATTTCAATGTCTTCAGATAAGTCGTGCACCCTGTATATACGAGGGTGGTCCGATAAGTACTTAGCCTACAAAAGAAAAACGAAAATTTTGGAAAAGTGGCGATTTATTTCTCAACATAGTCTCCTTTTAGCTCGATACACTTGATCTAGCGATGCTCCAACTTCTTTAACCCGTCTGAAAAATACGTTTTCTCGAGGTCTGCAAAGTAGGCTTCCGTGGCGGCGATGACCTCCTCATTCGACTCAAATTTCTGCCCGGCGAGTGATTTTTTCAAGTTTGGGAACAAAAAGAAGTCGCACGGGGCCAAATCTGGAGAATACGGTGGATGAGGCAGCAGTTCGTAGCCCAATTCGACCAATTTGACCGTGGCGAGGGCGGAGGTGTGAGCCGGTGCGTTGTCATGGTGGAGGAGCACTTTTTTCTTCGCCATATGGGGCCGTTTTTTCTGCAATTCGGCGTCGAATCGGCCCAATAATTCGGCATAGTACAGCCCTGTGACCGTTTTGCCCTTCTCCAGGTAGTCGATGTAGATCACACCTTGTGAATCCCAGAAAACGGTGGCCATCACCTTTCAGGCCGATAGGACAGTCTTCGCCTTCTTCGGAGCACGTTCGCCGGGTGAAGTCCACTGTTTCGACAGTTCCTTGGTCTCTGGTCTGTACCAGTGGATCCATGTTTCGTCGACGGTCACGAAACGACGCAGAAACTCCTTCGGATTGCGCTTAAACAGCGTCAAACACTGCTCTGAAGTGGTCTCACGGTTGCGCTTGTTGTCCGGAGTGAGCAAACGCGGCACCCATCGCGCCGACAGCTTTCTCATGCCCAAAATTTCATGCAGGATATGACTCACGCGGTCTTTTGAGATGCCTACTGTCTCAGCTATCTCGCGCACCTTCAATCGGCGGTCTGCCAATACGAGATCGTGAATTTTTGTCATGTTATCCTCCGTGGTAGCCGTTTTCGGGGCACCTGGGCGTGGCTCATCAAAAACCGACGTGCGACCACGTTGAAACTCGTTAAACCAATTTTTGACGGTTGCCATCGAAGGAGAAGAGTCACCGTACACAGCATCCAAGCGCTCTTTGATTTCGCTGCGCGATTTCCCTTCCAAAAACAAGAATCGAATCACCGACCGATATTGCTCTTTTTCCATTTTTCTAAAATCTGCGGACACGCCCGCTTCCACACGCGGTCAAAACAAAACTACGAGTCCGATTCGGCTGAAATTTCGACAGTAGCCGTCTACGAGAATGTACTACACGATAGTAAATTTTTCTTGCGATAGTGGAGCCATCGGGCGGTGAGGCTAAGTACTTATCG